GAATTGACTTTCTATGGTATAATTTTTATTTTTTACAAAGAGCAGGGAGAAGCACAAGAGTTGACCATGGACCTGGTCTAGTAGTCCAACTGCAAATATTTAAAGGTAGAAAAATTACAAAGAAGAAATCAGACAGTTTCTGAGTGATTATTAATGTGACACGTTGTGTAGAAAAGACTGAAAAATGAGGATGATACAAGAAATAATGATATAAGTCAAGGACAGAGCACTTAGTGAGGAAAAACAAAGTCTAATTTTTATAGATTTTATATTTTTATATCTTTTATTTTTAAAAGTCATTATGATTATATATTATGACTGCATTTCTCTTTGGAGAATATGATGGGTGGAAAGACCACACTTTAGGTGTATCCTGTCAGTACAACAAATATTTATTGAGCAATGGATCTGAGACGCTCCCTACAAGGTGTGGTGAGAGGTACAGGATGCTCTGCTCCTGGGGCCTCATGACTCAGTTATGGAACCTAAGTCAACACATTGAATGATCGCTCATAACCAAACACTAAGTAGTGAGCTATAAATAGATGTTATGGTATAAAAATGCAATAGAACTTCCAAAGGAGTAGAATTCCCTTCTAATTTAGGAGGTCAGAAAAGACTTTACAGAGTATGTACAGATTTTTTTGAACTGCACTTACATTCAGATGGGAACAGAAAAAGATTCATATCAAGAGGTAAGGAGTGTTTTCTTAAAAAATAGCAGAGTTGGAAATTGTAAAGAGATACCTCAAAATAGTGAGGAAACTAATTTGATGAGACTAAAGAGTTTGTGTAGGGAATAAGGAAAAAGTAATTTTCCTTAGACTGCGCAGAGTTTCAAATGACACGCTAAATGGGCTTTCAGAGAAGGAGAGTTGCCTAGGGTTTTCTAGGGTGGAAATGACACGACGAAGGCGTGCCTGTTGGCAGCACACAGAACGATTAGGATGAAGGAGAGCTGCCGTCCTCCACAGCGGGCAGTACACCACCTTAGCCAAAAGAGGTACTCAAGCAATATTTGTTAACTCAATGGAGGATGAGGATCTAAAGCAAACATGATGCCTATGGGATTGGAAGCAAAGGCCATTTGTGGAAGGAAAATCCAAGACTAATCTAAAGCACTCGATGCCATTGACTGTAGGCTGATGAGAAACGGTGAAGAGGGATGAGGACATGAGTTCTCAGTCTGGATTATGGGGAGAATGATGGGGGCTATCCTGAAAAACTAACAATATCAGAAGAGAAAATTTGTCTGCAGTGGTGCTCTGTGTGAGTGAGTGGAACAGTGCACTCATCGAGCGTCATATGCCATTGTCGGCCCCACTGATGAAAATCTCCATCAGGCCATTATCAGAGAACATGAGACGGGGCTAGAGGTCCAAGGTGCAGATAGAGACGTGGGAAAGGACACACACACAGAGATTAAGGGGAGAACCAAGAGACAGAAAACTATGGCCTAGAAACAGAAGAGACAGGTCTAACGTTGCCACTGGCAAAGTATGAAGTGCACCTTCTTGTGGGGTTGGGTAATGCGGGAATGAGAGAAGTCAACAAATGAACAACAGCAAGAGAAAGAACGGTCAAAGAGAATTAGGAAACCAGGGTAGATTATCTCAAGAGATCCAGAGGAAGAAAAATGCAAGTGCAAGAGTGTAATTGCTAGCAAACATTGTAACTAAAACTACAGGAAAAATTTGGAAAAGCAGGATTTTACTGATTACCATACTATTGGTGGTTTTTTTCAAGTGTGATTTTTGTTGTTGTTGTTTAGAGATTTGTCAGATGTCTATACATAGATGCTAATTGAAACTAGGATAATGATCAGATTCCACTAGGAGTATATTAGTAGAAGATTACAGACTAAAATTTGTACAATAGATAGAAAATGAAATGGAAATCAACCAAGAAGTGATGAAATTATTATATTTATAATTAATTACCTACACACAAGGGGCTGTCAAAGTTGCATTGGTAATCTAAAGTATTAGAAATAAGCAGAGAATTAGAGAACCATAAAAAAGCAATATTTATTGAATTCAAACACAAAAGCATCATTAATGACATCAGAAGGTACAATTTCAGTGGGGTGTTGAAATAGTATCCAGAAAATATGGATTACAGAATAATTTGTCAGTGGAAACAGAAACAAGAATTGCTGGCAGAATATAATTAACTCTAGGAGAATAAAGGGACTTTATCATTAACTATGTATCAAAATGACGCTGTTCATCCTTTGTATATATTCGAGAATTGTAATCAGTGTATGATTGCTTTTAGAATATTGACTACATATATTCATATCTACTGAGTTCATATCAAGTGCCTAGCAGATTCCGGAAAAATAAATATGTATAAAGCAAAGCCCTGAGTGGTGAAGGATAGGTAATTATAGTACTTTCAATTGAACAGTGTTCATTTAAAGTGTCCTCCTATGCTAAGTCCTGTGCTAGGTGCTTGGAACACCGTGCTCAGAGCAAGACAGGTACTTACTGGCAAGGGGAGGAGTCTGGCAGAAAATAAATCCATTACCAAAAGAAATGGGAAAGTGAGACTGTGTCATAAAAGGATATAAGCAGATTTCATGAAAAGAGATTCCTCCTTCTCCAGACGGGGAGGAAAGGCTTACCTGTGGAAGTGAGGAGTGTTGGGATTTAAAACTGAAGTGAAATTGATTAGAAATACAGAAACGAAGAGCCAGGCATGTGCAAAGGGTCTGTAGCGGAAGGAAGCTGGATGTGCACAAGGTGCTAAGAGAATGAGATAAGACTGGGCAGGCAAGGAGAATGCAGATCGTGTAGAATGGAGATCATACGCTAATAGCTGTTGTGTTTATTTTTTAGAACAAAAGCAAGTCATTCATGTGATTTAAGCAGAGAAATGGTGTGATCAGATTTGCATATTAAGAAAAATCCTGGTTCTGGATTAGGTCATGTGATTGCTTGCATTCTTAAACGGTGCTAAGCACAATCAGGAATTTCTCAGCTGAACACATGATTTAGAGCGTTCAGTTTAAAAATAAATAAAAAGAGTGGTCAAGGTTGACCCTGTTTAAAGTTCAATAAAAGGATCTCACTGAGAAGGAGATGCTGAAAATGTGAATGAGAAGTAATCCTTGAAAGTCTAGGTTTCCTTTTATTACAGAAGGAAGAGTAGATGTAGAGGAATAGGCTGAGGTTCAATTTAGGGTGTGTCGAGTTTTAGGTGTCTGTGAGACTTCAAAATGGGTATACTGATGTAACAATTTGGCATGTGCATCTGAAACTTGAGGGAGAATTCTGGATTCAGGAAACAGACTTGAGGAGGAGGGCAGGAAATTAGGGTTTGTAGTAGAAATTCATCAGTGAGGATCAGAACACCAAGGGGAGTTTTATAAAGTGAGGTTGACTGTGGAACAAATAGAGTTCCATGGAATATCAACAGTTAAGTATTGAGAGGCGGGGAAAAAAGTGAAGAAATGTAGCGATAACAGTCACAGAGGTAGGAGGGTAAGATGTATCATCTCTTTCAAAAATTGTGTGAGTCAGCTGGTTCTGGTGTAACATTTTCTTTAAACCATGCTTTTTAACTAAGCACACTTTTCTAGGCTGCCCATATAGTCAATATAAATGAGAGCTCTGTGATACACTGAGAACGTGCTTCAAATATAAATTCTAGAAACACACACGCTGACTCTGTGTACATTTGTGTGAGGTGTATTTGCATTTGTTTGTATAGAAGAAATACAATGTGTTTCCTAAAGAAAAATTAAAAGATAAGAGATTGTTGTTTACCCCACTGAGGAAAATGCTAGAGGTGTGACTGTTTTAAGACTAAATTTTTCGAGCGAATGAGGGGAATCATGGCTGCAGAGCCGGTGCACACTGAAGGAGAGATTCACCTGACACGTGTGGAAAACTCTGCCTGCCTGAGTGTGGACAAGCTTTGTTTTTTGCAAATGAACAGGCAGAGTCTTTACATAAAGTCACTAAGTATTCCATCCTCCTGAAGAGAGTATGGAAGTATTGCAATTTTTAGGATGCGAGTGATGCTACTTAAGTAAGATATAAGAAACACGTTGTTCCATATAGATATTATCTGGAAAAAATTAACAATTTGAAAATAGCTGCACCAAATGTGAAACCTTTGGGATGCTGTTGTACCTTCTCGATGAGTAAGTTACGTATGAGGAAGTATTTTGAGAAGGTGCATTAATGACTTTAGAAGGTAAAGAAATCCCAGGAGACCTAATTTGAATTGGGCAGGAGGTTTTTCTTTTCAATGTTGTTCTTTTTACCTTTGAACAATTTCACTGTTTTACATGGTCTTTCCTGGCTCATCAAGAGCTTGTAAGATATTTCTGGCCACTTGCTTGCTTTAAGTGTATTTGCAATTTTGCAGACTTACCTGGGAGACCAGGACCTTTAACTCCTGAACGTGAAGTAACAAGAACAATAATAATGTAGAAATGTTCATGCATGCTTCTTTAATGCGGTTTTAGATGTGTCATCTGCGGTTGAGCCATACACCAAAATACCTATGTATATACATTTAGTTATCTATCATTAGGTTGACTTCATTAACTTTGTTCTGCCAACACTGCTCCGTTTATTGGCTCTTCCTCAGAATCCTTTTCTTTCATAACATTTCATGTTGAAGTCTGCATAGATTGCAATGTTTGTTGAATAAACTCCATTATTAAGTACACTGTTCTGATCTTTGCATAATAATTTGCATAACTACCACTAGAAATAGATTTTTTTCCCCCTAGGAAGCTAGTTTGCAAAGAAAACGCTATGAATTTTCATTGTAGTCTATTAGTTTTTATCTCCAGGCACGTTACAATAGTATTTTTAAATGCAGTGTGTGTGTGTGTTTTTTTTAATTTAGGTCATTTCCTTAAAAGAATAAGACAGTCCATTATATTCTAATGATGATAAGATTTAATACAATATAATGCCATGATTAATTCATTCACTTTGGTTACCATTGGCTTTTTCTAATGACCTTTTCTACATTTTCAGGGTGAAACAAAGATCTTAAAACTCAAGAATCTTCGCCCTCAGGACTATGCTAATTACAGCTGCACTGCCTCAGTGAGGAATGTCTGTAATATTCCTGATAAGATGGTGTCATTTAGACTTTCCAACAAAACGGGTATGGCCCTCTCTCTGAATCGTTTATGTCTCTTATCCACAAGTAATGTTAAAAAAGTCTTTGTAAGCTTCTTATAGACCACGTGATTGCTATCATATATGTGGGAACAAGGCACCTTTTGTTCCCCAGAAAATTCTGTGATGTCTGAAAAGCTTTCGGTAAAATATAATTGCAACACACTCCCATGTAATATGTTTGTTTATATAGCATGCAAAATTATAGTTCCTTAAAATATTGTATTCATAAGTGTCACAAGCAAGCTTGTATCCTATTCAAAGAAATCAAAATTTATGATCTAAATTGCTGCCAGTGTTTTGTGATTCCAAAGCCAAGTGAAAGAACCTTTCTTTTACTCTGTTTCAAGTCAAGAAAGCTAATTGGTAATTTCAGGTAGGTGTTTTTAGGAAAGTACTTTTGTAGAAAATGTCAAAACATTAGCAAGACTCTAGTTTAAGTTAGCCCATGATTGGTGATATAGACAGAATCACTGTGAACAGAGTGAGAAGAAATTGCCAGTGAGAGAGCAAAGAGAGAGCACGTGAATGAACTATCTTTTGTATGATTGTGAATGAAGCATCACCTTAATAAATCAGAATCTGAACTGATTTGGGGAAACTTTCAGTGGCAATTAATATACATTTTTACTATTAAATATATTAAAATAAAGAGTTGTAAAAGCCCTTCTCCCATTAACAAAACCTGGAAAAGCGTGGGCTTTTGCGGGCTTCGCTTTAGGTCCTGAATCTGCCACTTCCTAGTTCTTGGATCTGGCTGAGCAAATCCCTTCCCTCTTCTTTTCCTCAGTTTTTCATGAACTCGTAAAGCGTGTGGAATACACTTTGTTGGTTCTTCCAACAAAGAGCTAGTCAGCAACTCTATCCGGCTCATCTGGTGAGAAGATTAAACCTAGGACTTTACTGAAAGATGAAAAAAAATGTGTGCTTACACGTTGATTCGTCAACACATGTTTTATCATGTTGTTGAAATTTTGAAAGGCTCATTCTTTTATTTTTTCATTCAGTTATTCATCAGAAACTTATTGAGTTCCTATTATGGGTCAGCAATAATAGGCGTAGAGATATTGGCTAAAATGTAAATTGCCTTAAACTCTACTGTGTACCAGATGAAAGTCATTAGAGGAAAGTAAAAGAAGAATGTAGGGGGAGAAAAATAAATTTTACCAATAAGGATGAGAAAGACTTGATGGAAACTATGCTGCAGAAAAAAGTAAAAATATAAAAGCTTAGTGGGCTTAAGACATAAAAATTAATAATCTCACCACTTAAAAAAGAATAAATAGAATATTGAGAAATAAAAATGAGAGATTCACGTATAAGAACTGGGTATGATTATGTTTTTCTTTTTGGCATGAAATACTTTGTGAATTACTATAGCTAATTTTCTTTTTCTTAGCTTCTTTAATGTATTTTTAAAAGCCACATTATCCTGAGAGAAAAAGTAAAAATAAAATGGATGTAGGTCCTGTGGGATGGGTAAAGGCCTTGCAGTGGGATAAGGAAGAACAAAATAGTGGATATATTAGTACTTATGTTACCACCTTGCACTTGAGCAGTGCATTATTAATTTTAAAAGTATTTCATGTTTATTATCTCCGTTTATCTTTATAACCCCTGGGATGTAAGTAGGTGGATGTTTTTTATCATGTCTTTTTCTATCATCTGAAGCATAACAAACTTGGCCTGAAGCCATCAAAATATCCTCATTGGGTTGTTTTGAGAATGAACGATATCAACATAAACAAAACTTTTTTAGAGACTAAGAGCTACAGTAAAATTATATTTAATATTTTCATGCTGCAGAAATGTATGGTTTTATTTCCCAAGGTCCCACAGCTAATAAAGGATGGGGACAAGGTTGATCCCAATGTTTGTAGAGTTATTTTAAATAGGAGACTGACTAGCTATTCAAAAGTGTTGTGGAGCTGAGGAAAATGAACTTAATTCTCAGCCAGAGCATTTTATTAGGAATGCATAAGGACTTCTTATCTCATGGCTGAAAGGAGATTACCAAGAGAAGTGATAGACTTCCAAGTTCCTGAGGTCCCCTAAAGCAGCTGAGTGACTATTTCTGAGGTGATTTTTAACAGTTGCCAGCCCAGAAAACAGAGGCTTGACTCTGTCCTATGGGGAGCACAGGAGCACTGCCAGGTGGTTGTTTTATTTAACCCTTCAGTTTTCTCTTTCGTTCTTTATTTTTCAGGCTAACATACCGTATATCTAGACCGAGCAAGCAAAATAACCTATTATCGCCTTTTATAAATTATTGCCCACAAATTTTAAATTGATGTTCAGTACAAAATGAGTATTAGAGTTATTGTAAATAATTGAGTTTAAAAATATGAGCGCGCACCATGTGGGACTCTTCAGTGACTATAATCAGGCACGTCCCGGGCCTGGGGCTTTACTTATTCCAACCAGGTTTGCTTCAACACTTCTCCCGTCTGGTGGGGCTCAAAGCTGGAAAAGTCTGTGCATTTCAAACAGGTGAAATCGTTGAGGTTGCTCTCCAAGTGCACCGGGAATAAATTAGGCCTTCAGCATCTTCATGCAAACAGGTCTATAAACTGACGAATAAGTGCATATGGGCTAGTTCATTGCTTTCCTGACACTGAAGAAGATCGTAAGTCAGCATTAACATCATCACTGTGAGACTCAGGTGCTCCTTTGGTTTTCACTCTTGTGAATCTCTAAATGACATAAAGTGCTCAGATTCTTAACTCTTGGTTTGCAAAACTTCAAGGAAGATGTGTAATTTATTGAGGGAGAGAATATTCTGTTATAAATATTATAATTTGGTTAATCTCATCTGTAAATCAATCAGTTCACGAAAGTGAAACTTTGGAAATAATTTTTGTAAGGGAGATCAAATAATTGACTAATTAATGTATTTTTGGTACAAATAAATTTTGAAAGTGCCATCAATCTGTTGACCTGATTTACACAATGCCAAAGTGACACAGCATTTGAAGACGAACACAATGTCTGCTGTGGCAAGAATTTCTAAAAGTTTTTCCGGCAGAACAACTGCATCATAGACTATGATTTCCTGGGCCCATCCCTTACCTGCTGAATTAAACCTTTTGGGGAATGACTGGGCAATGTACACACTTTAAACAAGCATAAGTAATCTCTTTGGAAAACAAACACTGTCTTTGTTGTCAGATTTTTCCATGAACCCTTCCATTTTGTGAACAGGAACTTTTGTTAATAAAAATCAATTTTCTAGAACCACATAGAAAAGCAGTACCTAGGTGTCATTTTAAAAGTCGGTGCCATCTATGGATTTACCAATGATGTGTTTTCTTAACTTTCCTACTCTGAGCTGGCATTAGAGTAGAGCTCATAATTGTGTGTCTGCCACGGAGTGTCTAGTCACTTGTTGACCCTGTTGATTACTTGACATGCTATGAAAAATCTCCTGTCACAGAAGTCTCATTATTTATCGTACCTAATCTAGCTGTCGTAGACTGCATCATGGCGATCCATGGAATTGTACAAAACATAAAGTGTTATATTTATTTATTTTGTGGCATGCACACTCCCTGACCAATTGACATAAGGCTATAGTAGAGTTTCAATGTTGTTTCTGCTGTTCTACCCCCATTCAACAGAGAAAGTACATTTGCTCTTGATTGGTAAATTTTTAATGTAGCCGTATTTTTCATAGTTTGTTAAAATGAACCTGTTAAGATTTGTAAATTTAGAATGTTAATAAATATAGATGTGTTTTAAAATTATCATAATTATGGTAATTTTAAATATAAACCATTTTAAATTTCTCAGATTATGTGTATTTCTAACATGAGGGCACATAGGAATTATGATATAACAAATTTAATTTATTTTAATATATTTTATGCACTTACACTTTGATGTCTCATGATTTCAAAAGCAAATAGGAATTAAGTTAGGTTACTTATATTAGGATGAAAAACATATTTTTTACCTGCTTGTGAGACTATGATGAATTCTATAAAGAAATGGGGTAGGTGGGGCTAATTTTACTTAATTATATAGATTCTTTGATTCAGTCTGCTCAAACTTAGCATTTACAAAAATTATCTAATTAAATGTCTTCCTTAAATGTGTATTACATCTTGGAACCAAGTGGTTGCAAAGTATGACTGACTATAGAAATAGGAGAAAGCCTTTGTCTCTCTTCTTTCTCCTTCTCTCCCTTATTTCTCTCTTTCTTCTTCTTTTCTCCTCCAATCTGTCTCAATAAATTATCACGGAAGAAAACAAAGGTTAGGAAACACCTCTGTTGTCTAGGTTAGATAACCATTAGCTGTTCCTAGTATTTTATATAACTCGTAGGGAAGTTGTAATATGAACACCAACCAATTACTGTGACCCTCCATAGAAAACTTTTTGTATGCTGAGATCTATTCACACGGTAGTTCTCTCCTCTGTTTAGAGGAATTTAACTTATCTAAGTGTTATGAGAAATAAAATAATATTTCAGTTATAGGAGTTTTATAGGAATAGCTGTGGATATGAAACAAAAATACATAAACACTTCCTTTTGCAAAATGGAATGCCCATTATAGATAGCCAGTTTAAGTGCAAAAAGAAGGGGCAGTAGAAATTTTGCTGTGATCTGCACCTGAGTACTAAGCTCATGCAGTTTTCTTTTAGCCATGTGGATATTTGAGTATCTTGCCTTTAGGTGACCTCCACAGCACCTAGGCAATCAGTAGCACCATTTATTAGAACTTACATATGTTATTTCACCAATAATCACAGCTTTGAAAAAAGATTGTCTAGGTTTGTAAGAAATGCATGGTGCAAATACAATGACTTCATGGGTGAGTCTGCTCGGGCTGCCATGACAGAATACCCAGACTGGTGGCTTAAACAACAGAAAGTGATGTTTTCACAGTCTAGAGGCTACAAGTCTCAGGCTAAGGTACTGCCATGGTTGATTTCTGGGGAGGCCTCTCTTTCCTGGCTTGTAGACAGCTGCCTCCTCTTTGTGGC